TTTTTGCTCCCTCTGTTAAGTGGATGTTAATTTTTCAGGCCAATATAACTTGAGCAGCGGCTCATCAGTTTTCTAACCTTGCTTTATCTATAATAATTTCTCTAGACTTTCAACTTTGTTTAAAGAAGGAAAACATTTTGGGTCAAGTTTTTTAATATATAAATGTGTTAAGAGTGACCCAAGTAACTGTTTTTATATCTAAAATACTGAGTGATATTTATGAATTGATTTTCTTCAAGTTCTCATTTTCGGTGACATTGGCTGAAACAGTGGCTGCTTACACATGCGCAATGAATAACAGCCTGCAGGAGGGCCCTGATGACCTGAGCAAAACAACCCACCTACCAGAATATCCAGGTAACTGAATGAGTGAATACATGAATGAATAATGGAGACTGGACAAAATCATTTCTAGCTGATCAGTTGACATGAGCCTCTTTGGTTTACACACTTAAAAAATTACTCCTGGCCAGGCATGGCAGCTCACATCCTGTAATCCCAGCACTTTGGGAGATCAAGGCAGGAGAACTGCTTAAGCCCAGGAGTTCAAGACCAGCCTGGGCAACATAGCGAGACACTGTCTCTAGTTCTTACAAAAATACAAAAAATTACCCTCATGACTACAGGTCATATGTTACAGCCTTTACACGATTAAATGCACAAGGTAAGGTTAGCAGGAGGGTCTGGATCATGAGATGTGTACCTATAAACTGTCCAAGAGGGTCCAGGAGAGAAAAGACGGCTTGTTCAGTATGTGCAGGCAATTAAATGCTTTTCTAATCAAAATCGTCTATAAATATTTAAAAGACTAGTTCTACTACTTAATCCTGGGGGACCCAGAACGATATCTGTTTCATCTTTTGGCCAATTTTCTAGCCATGATTGGAGTCCCCTAGTCCAACACTGATTCACTGAAAAGGAGTCCCCTGGTTCTTCCCAGGCTTCCTACTTTTAAAAGAGCCGACTCCACCCTTCTCAGTGCCATGGCTCCAGCACCCTGCCAAATGCCCAGCACCAAGTGGGGGCCCAGTGGACAATCCTCTAGACTCCCTATGGCCCTGGCATGGTGCCCTGCACACAGTGGGAGCTACCATGGCAGAGTGGTAGTCACAGGAGGGAGCAGGATGGAATTTGTATTCATTGAGTGAATGACTGAAATCAGTTATTTTTGCCAGTAATTAAGTTTGCCAGTTCTTCAATAGCATGGTACCTGAGTCCCAATTCTGCTATTTAGAACCTATCAGAATCAATTTGGGTGAGTCACCTACCTTTCCTGAGCCTCAGTTTCTTCATCTATCAAATGGGAATAGAAATACCAGCCTTGCATGCCTCATCAAATGATGGAGGAGCCAGTGTGGGTGAAGCAGTGGGTGGATGCTTGCTATGATTCCCCTGTCTTTAGCTCAGCGTCTCCCAGCGTCTGCCTCCAACACGCTCTGGAGTTCTTATGAGTGGAGCTGCTGGCCTGCCATCTGCTGTGCCGCTAACAGTGCCACATATTCGGAGTCAGGAATAATGATTTTGCCTTGGCTTTCTTTTAAAAATTCTAGGCAATATCATCTGGGCATAGAGGTTTAGTGACACCCTCAATCAGGTCTAAAAGTGCCTTTGGTGGTGGAGGCACTGCCATCCCTCTGACGGTCATCGACTGCCGGACTCTGGCTGCCAAGCTGGGGCTGAGCCGTGTTAGGGGAATTAACCAGCACTGCAGGCAAAGTGACAGGACTACCACTGGGGAAAGTAGCAAATAAGAAATGAGGCTGGGAACACAGAAGGTGGGAATCAACATGCCTGCGGCATGGGAGAAATCAGGCTCGGGAACAAGGATGATCAGTGTGCGGGAGGGAAGATCTCGGCTGTTCTAACCGGGACACAGAAGGGCTGGGAAGCTCTACAGCTGGAGAGGGACCAGGTGACCCCTCCATGTGGCTGCACTTGGGGGTGCATCCTTGTTTTCCCAGGACTGATGCTTCCCCTTAAGCCCCTGAGTATCTTCTGAGAAAGCTGACCACCCCCCTCTAAGGGGAGATCCCTCCACAACCCCCTTTCCACCCGGAAGCCCCTTCTGGATGAGCTCCTGCACAGAGCTCTTGATCCTGTTCGCCGGCCTCAGAGGCCCCGCCTCATCCGTTGCCTCACCTGGATTTGTGACCCCACCTCCTCTACTGTGTGTACCTGCCCAGACCTGTGGCCTCAAAAGCTCCTCTCCCCTGCTATTCCCTTAAGCTATTTTCCCTTTGAGTCCCCATGGTACTTTCCTTGTTTTTATGGGACTGATACCCTGTTTTGTGTTATAATGATTTGTATGTGTTTCGTCTTGCTTATTACCCTGAAAACCTCATGAGGACACAGACTGTCTACCTTATTTATGCCACACCTGTAGTTCCCAGCATAATATCTTACACTAGTGGGGCCAGTAAATACTTGCTCTGTTAAATTTTATGATAATTCTGACTTCTAAGAACAAGTAATCATATTTCCCCACATTTTTTTTTCTCATTCCAAAATGTAGTCACAATAATATGATCACAATTACACAGTGGTTTCTCTATAAATAAAACAGCTACTGGTTTCTGTTTTACCTTACTCAGACTCAAATACACTTTCTTACCTTCTTGGGTACGAAGACATTTTCTAAGGCAATAGCATTGGATCTCTCTGGAAAACATTATTCTGGGAGCTCCCAGTCACAACTGTGGGCAGCTGAAGCCTTTTGGATGACTCGCTAGCATCAGTCTGCAGCTTTCCCATTCAGCCTGATGTGTCTGGCACATTTTCACAACCCTGACAGACTGGTGGTCCCTGCCACTCTTCACTGCAGGATGCTGTGGGACTCAGTGGCTACTGCTACTGTCTGTGGCTGCCCCTCACCTGTGCACCTGCCTCCCTCTCCCAGCTTTTTTTGAGTTGTACCCATGAAGGTCCTCACCTGTTGCCCAGCTTCTTGGTTCTATCCTTTCCTTCTGGGGACTTTAGAGGCTGCCACGGAGGCAGGGACATGCTCTGGCTTTGCGTTCTGCTCTCAGGCCTATCAGCTGTCTGACTGGTGGGGAGATGGCTCTTTTATCCTTCTCAGACACGCTATTCAATTCTCTCCTGGGCACAGACGTTGAGAGTCTGTGTCAACTCAGATCTCATACGCCAGGAATGAGATTCCAATCTAGTTGACTGTCAGATTTTAAATTGCTTTCGCTGTTTTCCATGTGTGGCAAAGGGTTGGGCAAGGCTGCTGGACCCTTCTGATGACCAAGGCTACCCACATGTGGGTGGCTGCTCCAGGCCGTCCCCTTTGTGAAGAGACCACTAAGCCCCCATGTGGACTGAACCCACAGTATTCCTGGGTGGGGTGGGGCATGCGGAGAATGGACCATCGACTCAACTTGGGGCTGTCATCAAAAAGGGGAGTGAGGCCAGTTTTGGACTAAACAGATGGGGAGTAAGGCAGTCCTGAGCTGTAAATGTCTGCAGTGCTATACCTGGACCTTTGACCCATGTCCCCTCTGGCACCGGGCACAATGCTATGACCACAAGTTCTCCACTACACTTTTCTCTGAAATACAATGACAGGCTGTATCATTCAATGGGAAGAGGACACTTGAATGAGACATGTACTGACCCTCCCTGAAACAAACTAAAACCATGGGACTTCATTATAAAGAGGGAGGGAACGTCCCATGCAGGAATAGTTGTAATGAGAATGTTTTAATCAGTCTATCTATACATTTTGTAATGATTTCAGATGTGAGAATGTATTATCTAATCAAAGGATTTCTGATTACTAATTAGTTACATTGTATCCAATCAGGAATTAATAATTCGAGCCTAATTGTGAATTAGGCTTCGCATCCAGCTGCGGGATGTGTGCTGACTGGCAGCGCTGGGCTTGGGAGGGGCAGGCCTCCCTTCCTTGGCTCTCGGTACCAATGTGAAGGAGTCAACAGGGTGGGGTCATGAGATGACTCTGGGCTCTATAAGGCCGCAGGGACACCAGGGGTGCAGAGAGCCAGGAGGCCAACTGTTCTAAAGGGGTTGCTCAGAACCTGAGCTGAGCGGCTCAAACAAAAACCACATTTTGCTGAAGTCTGGCTGGGCAGTGCCGAGAAAGAGGCCCTGGCGCCAGGGTTAAGAGTTTTGTAAATATAATAAAGATTTCTTCCCTCTCCCCAGGAAGCACATAAAGAGTAAAATGAATGAGTATTACGTTGGTATAAACAGTAATGCTCTTTGGGTGAAGAGCCAACTGGCAGTTTTGAAAGATTGGGTTAATCAGACACAGGGAAATTTCTGATTAATTGGACAATTACTTTGTATTCTGAGTGAGCCAAGGCAATGTTAGAGAAATATCCCGACCAACTGGAGATAAATTCACTAGCTTGAGGCAGAGATTTTTAAACTTACAGAGGATGAAATACACTGGCATTGTGTGCCCGATTTTTATGATCTCAAGTTCCCCAAATGTATAGGGCCTATGATAATAATAATTATTATTTATTTTTTTGAGATGGAGACTTGCTGCGTCACCAGGCTGGCATGCAGTGGTATGATCTCGGCTCACTGCAACCTCTGCCTTCTGGGTTCAAGCAGTTCTCCTGCCTCAGCCTCCCAAGTAGCTGGGACTACAGGTGCTGGCCACCATGCCCAGTGAATTTTTTTGTATTTTCAGTAGAGACAGGGTTTCACCATGTTGGCCAGTAGATCTCAATCTCTTGACCTTGTGATCCACCCACCTCAGCCTCCCAAAGTGCTGGGATTACAGGCATGAGCCACTGCGCCCGGCCCCTATAATTAGTTTTTAAGACCGAAGTGATTCAACAGTATTTTGGTTTTAAACAATTATGGAAAACCTGTTTGACATTCTCTTGAAATAACTTTTGGACCATAGGAGATGGCAAAACCCAAAGAAGAGGGGTCAGAAGAGAGGGCTTCCTATGTCTGATGATGGAAGATGGTCAGATACACACACAATGCAAACCCTCCTGGCTAAGGCGGCACTGCCTCACCTGGTGGGGGCGTGTTTCTGTTCCTCCTCCTCGTCCGTGTCACTGCTGATGGTGATGACGCTGACGGTGGGGCTGGGGGTATCAGGAATGACAATTGTCTGCCGCTGCCGCTCCCGGTTGGTGCTGGAGGCCACGTCGCCCCACCCACAGGTGACTGAGGTGCTGCAGGCCGGGCTACTGTGCACCATGGCACAGCGGGGAGGTGTGTTCTCCTTGACACGCTTGGATCGCTGTGGGGAGCTGATGGCCTGCGAGGAGGACACTTCACAGGTGGAGACATTTCTGTAATGAGAAAACCACACTCGCACACAGAGGAAGGTCAGGCCCACAGCTCCTTCGAAGGAGCCCAACTGCCTAGAAGCACCTGCTTTGCCAAATCTCTAAAAAACAGCAGCTGACCCATGAGTCTCCATCCGTGACTGGAAAAGGGACCATTCAGTGAGCCGCTACACAGCCCTTCTCCAGGCTCTGGTCTGGATCTACGTACCTGCTTCCAGCAGGACAAAGGGAGCAGCCAGGGTTTTTGGAGCAGGGAGGGGGCTCTAGTGCCCCAGGCTCTACATGTCTTGCAGGAGCAGATGTCATGCCAGGATTCCAGCTGTGTTTGTCCCAACACACCCCCTCGCCTTCAGGGTCAAGGCCCTACTTCTGAGCTCTGTCTTGTGTCATCCCTTCAAAGGTACTTAAGTCTTGTTTCGGGGGTAGGGGAAGAACTGGCGTTTGCCACATCAAAGCTTTGGTTTCTTACTAATGATTATTCTACTGAAATATTTACTCCTTAAGAGTTTCAGCATCTAAAGGACCTAACCTTGGTGACCAATGGTTCAGTTTCCTTCTTTCCTTCTCTGGAAAAAGAACACAAACATCAAAGTATTTGTGTGCATATAATTGCTAAAATCCTTAAAAATGATTTTTCTGGATTTTGCTTCATGGAGCCTCATGGGAAGCTCAGTAGTTTGAACTGTAATACAGAATTGGGAAAAGAGCAAGAGGAAAAAGCACTCTTAAAAAGAGACCTTTTAATCTTAATTTTGATCAACTTGAAATTCCTTACTAAATTAGCCAATGTGATTTTCGGTAACTTTAGGGGAAAAATACCTTTCCCCTTCTCCGTTAAATCCCTACTGACTCTAGTTCAGGTTGAGTATCTCTTATCTCAAATGATTGGTACCCGAAGTGTTTTGGATTTTTTTTTTTTTCAGATTTTGGAATATCTGCATATACATAATGAGATAGATAATCTTAGGGATGAAACTCAAGTCGAAACATGAAATTCTTTTGGTTCATATATACCTTATACACATAGCCTGAGGTAATTTATACATTATTTTAAAATAATTTTGTACATGAAATAAAGTTTTGACTGAGACCACATGTCAGGTGTGGAACTTTCCACTTATGGCATCACGCCAATGCTCAAAAAGTTCCAAATTGGGGACCATTTTGGATGTGTGGATTATGGATGCTCAACCTGTAATATCTATGCAGTGAGAGATAATGCCAGTGTGTAATGAAACTCAGACTTTTATATGTCTTTGAAGATTCTAGCACCTTCTAGCTAAAGGGATGGCAGTAAAACAAAAATAATTCAATAAAGGTGGATTTATTTTTCTATCTAGCTAGTGCCAGATACACTGCTCGCCCCTTCCCAGGGACTGGTAATCTGTTTCGCTGGTAAGATTGTACCATTGTTTGTACTTACTATAAACCTATGTATTTGTTATTGCTAATACATTACAATTTTAAGATTATGTTTTTCACTACCAACGGTTTTAATATCTCCACTTGGCATTGCAAGGAAAAGTACGCCTGGCCACACTGCCAACAAGGGAGAGACTTCCGGTCTTTCAGACTGTTGTGCTGAAGGCATTGGTCTTAAAAATAAGCAAATACATAACTTTCACTATAATTATATCGATCTTGAAGTGTACTGGCAGTGAGCCTTCATGAGGCCAGCTGAGTGGTGAGTTGACAAAAAGGGAGGGCTTGCTAAACAGGTTGGGAGGCTGAGGGTTCTCACTGCCTCTACTCAGCCAAGGTGAACTCATGCTCCATGTGACCTCGCTGGGCATGACAGCCCATTAGAATGGAGACAGTGGACTTTGGTGCCACCCAGTCTAATAATGACATGAGTGAGTTGTCACAAGGCTGCCAAACAAAAGCATTCTGGAAAGCTGCCAACGTGCTGAGATAAATTTCTCTGAGTTGTCAGAAACACTCAAAAAAAGGAACCCTGGAAGGATGACGACTTCAGCCCTTGGATCAATGTTTGAACGAGAATGAAAAGAAGAAGGCCTAGTTTCTGGTATCTGCTTACATGAGGAGGCAGAAAACCAAAATTCACTAGACATTTTGTATACCAGACTTCTCTTGGTTAACTTATTGAAATAAGCAGTTAAGCACCTCCAAGTCGTGGCGTCAGGAAAAGACGTAGGAGCAGTCCTGCCGTCACAAGATCTCTCTCTCTCTTTGGGTTGGAAATCTCTATGTTTTTAAAAAGTCAGGTTATTAAGGTATAACTGACATATAGTAAAATGTTTCCCTTTGAAGTGTTTGATGAGTTTTGACAAATGCACAGTCATAACGCCCCGCTCCAATCCAGGCTTACAGCTTGTTCCTACAGCCTTCCTCGCAGTTAGTCTCCTCCTCTCCAGTGGTCTCTGGCAAGCCCTAATCGGATCTCTGTCTCTATGTTTTGCCTTTTCCAAATAGCCATCTACGTGGAATCACACAGCACGCAACCTTTTGTTGACCTTGATTTTTTAAAGTGTTCATTGAGATGAGAATGGATTTAAAGGGAATGAGTTGTGTTCTGCTGGGATTAAACAAGTCTGGGATTAAACAAGCCATTGCTTGTATTTAAGCAAGGTGCTAACTCAGTTAAACTTCTGATCTTAGATACAAAGAAAGCACATTTCTTTGGTATTTTAAAAACATTTTAAACAATTTTTAACATTTTAAAATAATCACTATGGTAAATGGTTTCCAAAATGGAACTTCAGGTGAGGCTGAGTGTTCTCTGGACAAGGAGAAAATGACAAAGATCTTTTGCTTCACCAAACTTTAGTCAGGCTTGTGAACCTTCTCCTAGGTCTAGCTGTGCACTCTGCTGCACAATCTAGTTTTGGCAAAAAACCCTGCTAAGTCAGTTTAGCAACAACCCACCATCCTGGATATCTGATGACCCTTGATATCTGATTAGGTTCCTCATCCTCCAGGTGATGTCTGATCACCTGGCCCTATCACTAGCAAGAATCCTGTTAGGTCAGTTTAGGCAGAATCTCCCTTACTCCTAATGCTTCCTCTTAGTAACTTCCCATTCACTGACACCCCCAGCCTCGCCTTGGCTATAAATTTTCACTTGCCCATGCTGTATGGAGTTGAGTCCAATCTCTCTTTGCTCACTGCAAGATTCTGTTGCATCCATCCCTATACTATTGCCACGAGCTTAAACCAAGTCTTCCTTACTATAGTTTAAGAAGTATTAGTGACTATATTTTTTGTAATTAACAAAAGGGACTGAAGCTCTCATGGCATTGAACATGTACTGATTCCAGGCACCTACCCCTAGGGTGCCGGCAGCACTGCTTCTAGGCTGAGGCAAGAGGCAGGGCTAGCAAGTGCAGAGCCCAGAGTGAGTGCTTCCTGCAAACCCTAGGCCAGTCCATGTGGTACGGGGTGTTTTGCTGGCACTGCAGGAAGAGGAGTGCCTCATGTCCCACTCAACTGTCCCATGTTCAGAGTGGTGCTGATACTCCCTAATCCTAAACTGCATTGCTTTAGCACTCACATCTCCTAGAATTTCTCTTCCCTAGGGTGGCTCTCACTACCTACCTCACAGATGACTGGTGTTGCTTACTCTTCCGGGAGGAGGTGGTGCTGGTTGGCTGCTGTCGCATCACGTGGGCCACACCCACGTTTAAGGGCTGGGCTGCTGGAAGGGTCACATGACCGGTCAATAGAGCAGGCTGCTGCATGATGGGATTGTAATGGCTTCCGTGAGCATGCGTGTTCCTGAAAGGGAGCCGAAACAAGGTGCCTTAGAGGTGTTCTAAAAGCAGAGCTCCTCTATAAGAGCAAGCTTCCTCCCCAATTACAGGCTGACTGCACTTGGTTATCTCAGTAGCTGGGCAGCTGCTGAAGGGATGAGCCTGGCTAGGTGTGCTCATCAGGTGGGTTTCCTGGGTGTGGAAAAATTGAAGCACGGTGCTCAAGGAGAGGAGACACACATCTGACTGTGAGTGAGAAAGAGGGCTTCCAAGCAGGAAGAATGCTAAGTGTGCCAGCTCCGAGTTTTTAAGTTCTAGGGACGAGAGATAAATATTCCCTCCAACTTTTTAAAGTCCCTGAGCGCCTAGGTGATTATGCTGGACAATATTCTAAGGGCTCATGCCTGTAATCCCAGCACTCTGGGAGGCTGAGGTGGGCGGATAGCTTGAGCTCAGGAGTTTGAGACCAGTCTGGGCAACATAGCAAAACCCCATTTCCACCAGGAATACAAAAAATTAGCCGGGTGTGGTGGTGTGCTCCTATGGGCCAAAATACTTGGGAGGCTGAGGTGGGTGGATCACTTGAGCCTGGGAGACGGAGGTTGCAGTGAGCCGAGATTGTGCCACTGCACTCTAGCCTGGGCGACAGAGCGAGACCCTGTCTCAAGTAAAAAAAGAAAGTTTCACCTTAATTTTATTTAAAAAAAAAGTTTTAAATGAAGTAAAAGGGGAATTTATAAAGTGTCTTCAATGGGTTATTTTATTCCACTCTGCGATGTAGGCAGGATGTCTTAGCAATACCATTTTATCAATGAAGAAATTGTACTTTACGTGAAAAACAAACTTTGAAGCCTGGGAACCATATGTTTCTGGTGTGAGGAAGTTTAATGTTCTTTTGAATTCCCTCAGTGGCTAGAACAATGCTCAGGCATGTAGCAGCTGATCAATTAATTACACGCTTGCTGAATGAACAATTAGATTAACTGAAGGTTGACTAGACAAGTATAAAGTTGGTATTAAATCAAAATTAATAACAGTCATGATAGAAATACTGGCAGCCCTCATCCTAAAAATGGGTTATGTTTCAAAATTCTTATAATCTGGGTTGTATGAAGCTCCAAGCCTTTTTTTCCCACAGAAATGTTAAAGGTGGTGACTGACTCAGAGATTTGCCCATAAGAACCCATTGAACACATAATAAAATTCAAAGCTAAAGGAGAATTCATTTCAATTAAAAAAAAATTATAAGATCCTATTGTTGCAACATGGGGAAAAGGATGAATAGAAAAAAAAAGTAGATGAACACATTTGTAGGGATTCTGATAGCATCCTTTGGGTATTACATGGACTTTAGAAACTGATATTATGGCTTTTTTTTTTTTGAGACAGAGTCTTGCTCTGTTGCCCAGGCTAGACTGCAGTAACATGATCTCGGCTTACTGCAACCTCCGCCTCCCAGGTTCAAGTGATTCTCCTGCCTCAGCCTCCTGAGTAGCTGGGATTACAGGCACACACTGTCATGCCCGGCTAATTTTTGTATTTTTAGTGGATACAGGCTTTTGCCATGTTGGCCAGGCTGGTCTCGAACTCCTGACCTCAGGTGATCCTTCTGCCTCAGCTTCCCAAAGTGTTGGGATTAGAGGCGCGAGCCACTGCATCCAGCCAAGAAACTGATATTATGGCTTCTTTATTTTGTTATAGCTCTTTCTCCTATAGACAGGTGGCATTCTTTCTGAGTCAAGCCCAGCACTGGTACTTCTGTTTTTTAGCCACAATTATGGATATTCTTTGGCTCAGGAAGCCAGTATGCTGGCTTTAGATGTCTTCTGTGGTCGCTAGGTAAGAGACGTCAAAAAGAAACGAAGGAGGAAGGAAGAATAAGAAAATATGCAGAAATTAGTGAGTGTATATGTATTTCTGAGTGTATATGTATTTCTGAAATTAGATGAGCTATAAATGCTGAAAGACGAAGGGAAAAAAAAAAGGAACATGTCATGTGTGTGGTCTTTTAGGGAGAAAGGGGTGAGGGAAAAACCCAGCTGCTCAGACAGCTTTCCACTTGGCTGCTCCTAATGAGCTGGAGGAGGAAAGGCGATCTTGCTGAGCATGGGCTGAAGTGATGGAAGGAAGGGAAGATGACAGATTTATTTAATGCCTGTCATGTACCAGGCACTGTGATGGTACATGTTAAATATAGGCCAAGCGCCTTGTATTTTATCTTAATTTAAACCTCCCAACGATCCTATGAAGTAGGCATGACTATCCCCACTTTATTGAAGAAGAAACCAAGGTGCATAAAGGTTAACTGACCCCAGGTCATGCTGAGTTGGGACTGAACTCACTGCCTGGTTTGGAAAAACTGCTTCCAGTGAATGGGGGTGGCATGAGAGTATTGCCAGTGGGAAGTGAGTGGGAGCCTGGGGAAGGGCCCAGGTACTCTGTATTGGGCGGAAAATTAAGTGCAGGAATGGAGGAAGCTGCGGTAGGGGTCTGACTGGGGGTTTATATCACCACCTTTCTACTTTTCCCTGAGTGATCTTCATTTATAATAACCTTGTAGGTCAGAATAAGAACTGTGGGAGGCTTCCTGGGTGATACGGAGACTGTCAGGGGGTTGAGGGGAATTACCTGCCCTGATATTCGTGCAGAATGAGAGATAGCCCAAAAAGGCCATGAGGAGTTGGGACAACTTGGAGGGTTGCCATCTGGCTGTGCACTGGTGGAGGGGGCCATTATGGTGGCGTTGAGGGGAGGTACAAGGACATCTAGCTGTAAAATAACAGAGGAGTGCATCTGTGAGGAAGTCATGAGTTGGGAGGGTGGAGATCTGGAAGCAGATGCCGGGGTATGGTGTGCTGGCAGGCAGTCGGGTGGATGCCTCTGGGGTGTGTGGGAAGTAGATATCTGATATATAAGAGGTGACTATTAACTGAAGAGGCACACTCAGCAAACACGCCAGGGTTTACCCTTCCAAATAATCCCCATTCTGTCGAGCCTCCCATGGGAGGTCGGATAGGTTCCAGAGTACCCCCATCTCAGACATCTTCAGAACACTTCCTAGAATTGCTTGGGGCTTTGGGGACCCTCTTCTGCATTCTTTCACTGGTGACAGACTTTGTTTTCTGAAAGTGGAATTTGATTTGGAGAAACTACCAAACATCATCCAGAATCCAGTCTGGTGAATTGTACTGATGATTAAATGACCTAATTGAATTTGGGGTGGCAATGACAACTGAGCATAAGTTAATGAAGCAGATTTTCTTGTATCCTGGTCTATTATTTAAAAATTGCTTCTTGTCACATTGCACTCATAGTCCACACAATATTTTTTAAAGCTTTAAAAACCTCTCTACAAAACAGGGAATTCAAGTACAAGCCAGGCTGGCAGCCCTGAGTCGACAGTGGCCAAGGTTTCCCATCCCAGACACATTCACTCACCCCAGAGGGGTTTCCTACTTACCTCCAGTCCGCCAACTGCTGGGTGCCGGCCATGGTCTCCGGAATCACGGTGGCGTGCTGCACTGACGTGTGGGTGGCCACTCCAGTCAGCTGCTGCCATGCTGGGGGAAGCAGGATCTGCTGGGTCCCACTTGGCCAAGCCTGCTGTAGAACAGAGGACATGTGCAATGACCATGTTTGCTAACCATATAATTAATTTGCATGAATCCGGCACTTATTCTGTGCCTAGGGTTGTGCTAGGCCTTCTTATGGGTGTGAGAGTGGGAGGCTGGTCTCTGGCCCTAAAAACTAAAGTAAGGGGAGATTAAAAAATGAACATACATGAACTAAGTAGAAGACAATTAAGTACAGGGACACAGTTGTATGGAAGGGATTCATTCATGTTGAAGAATGACTTCTTTATAAGTTTGCTCTAATGAGGGATGTTTGAAGTTTCTGAAAGTTCATTTAATTGTTCTGTCTGACAACTATGAACAGGGGATTAGGGTAGTTGAGTTGGGCTAGATGAGGATGACTGCTTGCCCTCAAGGAGCTTTCTGCCTAGTATCCTTTACTTAACATTTTACCTTTGGTTTGTCAATTCGATTCTAGGTTCCAGCTTGTGTTATCTTTGGAATCAAAGTTTACACAATTTGAAGACCACTGAATATCTGGAACCTACATCTGAGAGCATGTTAGTATGAAGTAAAATTCTTAGCTGTGGCCATAGCTTAGTCTTGAATTACTTCGATTGCTCAAAGCAAAAATGAGAGATAGGTGGAAGTCACTGCTTGAATCTAATTTTTCTAAGAAATCTAAAATGAACTTTTGTGATTCCTCCTTAATAGATTCACTGGTGTGTGTGTGTGTGTGTGTGTGTGTGTGTGTGTATGTGTGTTGTTGTGTTTTAAGCTCTTTTTATCCACGATCACCATCCTGCTTGTCTTTGGTCATTAAATGATTCAGACTGAATACCACTGCCTAAAGTTGGACACTTAAAGCATAGCCACTAAAGTAAAATACCTTTTGGACAGATCAAGTATTTAATAATTTGCTATCTTAGCTCTCTCTCTTTCTATCAGAGTGGATGTGCCTAACATTGGGTAATTTATCCAGTGTAGTGCTTCACAAACTGTACATGTGCTCAATGTGTTTTATATGTACAAATAAGCACTTCTGAAAATGGATTACAGATTTGAGTCATGGTTTAAAAAACATTGATGCTTATAAAAATGATATAATCACATTTGAGAGCTGAGTGGAACCGGTTTACCTGTTCCATTATTTCATGTTGCACATGAGGCCCAGTGAGATCGCTTATATGTTTTTGATGCTGTTTGTTTGCTTTTGATGTAGGCAGAAAGCTCAGGGACCACAGATCATACCATGAGTGCTTAATATCTGTTGATAAAATGAAAGAAGCAACTCCACCAAGGCTAGTAACTACAGTTAATTGTATTTCAGGTTTACTTAATTCGTAGAAAGCAGAAAAATAATTTAATTGATTAAAACAGTTGCAAATTCCAAATATTAAATGAGTAACAATTTCATTTGCAGTAAGGTTTCTAATGACTTAGTCAACTGGAACTCATTTCAGATCTCATGAAAAACATTAGTTTTAACTAATGTCATTAAAGAAAATCTTGATATCAAGCTAAGGTTATCATTTTTTTCTATTTCCCTGAAGCGGATATTAACATTTTACCTCAAAGAGATGGGGTAGAAAGACTATTTTTGACTTATTTCCCTGATTGATATGCTTGGCTCATTTGCAACAATACTTTGTCAGACATTTTTATAATTTATTACTACTACCAAGAATGCAGTGAACATTTCTTAATGCATATTCTTTGCCAAGCACAGAGTTAAGTCATAAATGGGTTTCTGACTACTACTTCTTTTTTTTTCTGACTTCTTAACACCAGTTCTATGAGGTAGGGACTGTTATTTTCTTCCATTTCTCAGATGAATAAATTGAGACACAGAGGTTAAATATTAATAAATTGCCCAGAAATATGGTAAATTAAACATACACATTTATTGGCTTCTCTACACTCAACTAAAATGATAGTAAAGGAATAAAAATATACAGATTCATAAGGGCAAAGAAAGTAGGAGAGACGCAATTACCATTAATAAAATTTTAGAAGCTGAAAAACTGATAGATAATTACTAGATGAATTAACAGACTGAAGGAATCTAAGGTCAAGTCTTCATTTCCACTTAGTTCCCAGATCCTTGGTGTGCATGCTTATACCACCCCTCACCCCAACAAAGCAGGAGCCTAGAGGCTTCTCTCTAGGGGAAATGATTAGTCCGAGAGAAAAGAACTGCAGACATGACATTTAAGGATCAGGAGATCTGCCAATGAAAATGCTGGACTTGCCTCTTTTCAGCCTATAGAGAAGCCCACATTCAATAGTCTCTCCTCTACCCCCCAGATTTCCAATTAGTATTTTAATGCTTCACTCTTAAATAGGAATGCATAGCTAATGAATACTACACAGTAAAGGAAGCTTCTGACCTGAAAGAGAAAAAATAAGCAAACAAAAGAAAGAAGAAAGAAGAGCAGTGTGGGAATCAAAAGAAAATTTTCTAAAATCTATAATTGATGCCTTTGCAGAGTTAAAAAATATATCCATGAAACAAGATCATATAAAGAATCAATATATTCAGAGAACACACTCTTTCTTTTGGTGGGGAGGGGACAGAGAACAAACTCTTGAAATGAGAACTACGACAACAGAAATTAACCATTCAAAAGAAGATTTTTAAAAAGTTTAAGAAATCTCTTAGAAAGTAGTAAAGACAGAGCATATATAGGAAATAGAGGAAGAAAGATAAGAAAATTAGAAGATCAATTTAGAAGTACCAATACCCAATTAATAAGAATTCTGCAAAGGAGGAACAGAGAAAATGGAGGGGAATAAATTATCAAAGGAAAAAAAACCCAGATTAAAAGGTCAAATAGGGTGTTCACAACAATGTAAGAAAAAAGACCCATAAGAAGGCATATAGTCATGAAATGTGAGTCCACTGTGGATGAGGAGAAAGTCTTAAAAGCTTTCGGAGAGAGAAAACATAATGTACTGAGATCAGTATGCTCAAATGCATCAACATATCAAACATAGAAAGCTTTTATAGCTCTGGAAGGGTTTGGGACTGTATAATGAGATATACAGAAAACAAATCCAGTGGAAAAAAATGAGGCAATCATTAACTCTAGGAAAAACAAAAAGTTGTGTAAGAAGGAAAACATAATCATGGTATATCATAAGGCTCAACTGTGAATAATGTTATATAATATCGATAATTATGTACATATTACAAAGGAGTTGAATCAAAATTATGTGGGAGGAATAGGAGAAAGGAAAAGTGAGTGACAGGAGGAACAGGAGAGAAACTGTGTGTGTGTTATGGGGATGGCAGTGGGCTAGAAAGCTAAATCTTCATCTTCCATAATAGGAAGTCAATGGATAATACATAAAATGGAAAAAAAAATAATAAAAAGCAGTCTAAGCATGTTATTTAGAAACACAGAATTAAAGAACAGATTAAACAATTAAAAATTATTGTTATGGGCAGGGCACAGTGGCTCACACCTGTAATCCCAGCACTTTAGAAGGCCAAGGCAGGCAGATCACTTGATGCCAGCAGTTCAAGACCAGCCTGGCCAACATGGTGAAATCTTGTCTCTACTTAAAATACAAAAAAAATTAGCTAGGCATGGTAGCACATGCCTGTAATCCCAGCTACTTGGGAGGCTGAGGCATGAGAATTGCTTGAACCCAGGAGGCAGAGGTTTCAGTGAGCTGAGATTGCACCACTGCACTCCAGCCTGGGTAGCAGAGCAAGACTCTGTCTCAAAAAAAAAAAAAAAAAATATATATATATATGTGTGTATGTGTATATATATATATATATACACACACACACACACACACACACATACATACATACATATATGTATATATATAGTTATGTGGAGTAGACATTAAGGATGGGATAGAGCAAAGGACTATAATTTTCCTATACATTTATGGTATTATTTAACTTTTAAAAATTACGTACATCTGGCCAGGCATAGTGGCTCATGCTTGTAATCTCAGCACTTTGGGAGGCTGAGGCAGGCGGATCACGAGTTTGAGACCAGCCTGACCAACATGATGAAACCCCATCTCTACTAAAAAATATAAAAGTTAGCAGGCGTGGTGGCACGTGCCTGTAATCCCAGCTACTTGGGAGGCTGAAGCAGAAGAATCCATTGAACCCAGTAGGCAGAGGTTGCAGTGAGCTGAGATTGCGCCACTGCAGTCCAGCCTGGGCAACAGAGCAAGACTCCATCTCAAAAAAAAAAAAAAAAAAAGTACATGTATTACTTTGAAAAGGAATTAAATTTACATTTCAAAAATAACTTCTTCAAAGCCATACAGCCAGTACGTGGTGAGGCACGCATCTGAATGTGGGCAATCTAATCCCAGTGCCTATGCTTTCAGCCAACATACTACCTCTCCTTGTGTTAATAATATACAAAAATAATGCCCTTATTGAGGATTGGGTCTTGGTGGTAACTGCATAAAGGTGGCACGAATGAGTCTTCCTTATTCTCTAACAATATCAGGTGCCAGTCAACAGAGAAGCACACAGCAGGACAACGGCTGGAAAGACTGGTTGCTGAAAATGTTTTCAGAGCAACTTTTGAGTGACAAACATTAAAGTTTCATATTTTGGACACTTTAAAGGGTTCGAGCCAAGAGTTTGCTTTTAGGGAAACATTTAAAGGTTCAGTTGGTCAAATATGAGCCCAAGAAATAAAATAAATAAGTAAAAAATAAAGAGGTGAAGGTGATATATGCAAAACACTTCTTCATGGAAGGGTGCATTCTACAGTGATCTGACATTTCTGAATTTCTTCTCTAGCCCTGCTAGTCAAAGGAGATTTTAGATACTGCAATTTGACAAGTGAGATCAATTCAATACTGTCTCAATCAAGAACTATGCCTCCCATCTCTCCACCATTACCTACTCATTCATAATCTCTGTTGGTGGCCAAGATGCTAGCTGTAGCGTGGGGCTTGGGAGGATGGAGACGACAGCTCCTTTTAGGCAGTACCAAAACAGCTTTTGTTGTAAGGTGATCCATAAAGATCACTCCCATATCACTGACACGAGAAGTATGGTTACCATTTCCACCTGCCATCGCACATCCTCTGGGTGCCCCAGAGAGGTTCGTTTCCCTGAAGGTTTTATGTGATGCTGCTGGGAGATGGGAGGAAAAGGGCAAAGAAATTGAAATTAACATGAGGAGTGGATTCAAAGATTCCATGTCTAAATGTTCACAGGTAAAATCCTTTAAAAGATTTTCAATATTTAGAGAAAAAGAATAATGTCAACTTTTTGAATACACTTAAGTCAAATAATAGTATTTGGAATGTCTCTGCCTGGTGCCTAGAAATTTAACCATAGAAAAATGAAGGCTTCGGTTTAAATGCTTAATTATTGCTTTTTTATAGCCACCGTAAGACTTTTATAAATTAACTTATTTTCGTCCTTTGAAGGGAACATTTAAAAACATCTAGGAGAGAGTCCATCTCAACAGGCTAACATGTTGGCATAGATTAAGTGACAAGCAGAGAGAAAAATAAAAAGCAACTGACAAAAAGACACAACATGATACTGGATAGGGCAGGATTTCTTTCACTTAATATATCTTAGAAATCTCTGCATGTCAAGACACACAGGTCTACCATGTCCTTTTAATGGCTACATGGTGTTCCATTTTACATGTACATCAACTTATTTAACCAATCCCCTACTGATGAACATTCAAGTTTCTTCCAACAATCCCTGTTATAAATACAGTAGCAATTAAAATCCTTACACATATATTTTTTGTTCACTTTCCTAATTACAGCTTTAGGTTAAATCTACTTGGAGATTTACAACACTCTAGGGACCCTCTTTCAAGTAAGCAAAAGGTAAAGCTCTCCCTTGCTACGATTAAAGGACTGAAACAAATTCTGACTGCTGAACCTACTGGTTCCACCAAACTGAACAATGAAGAATGCCTGTGTTAGCTAATAAGAGATGCTAATCATTTCTTTCATAGACGGTTCCTGGCTTACTAGGGTTAAGTGTGCAAACATAAAAAAAATCTGTAATTATCCTTTAAAAGTACACGTGAATTTTGTAGATTTGGGCTCACAAAGGCAGAGCACTGGGAGACTGGTGTGGATTTTTGCCACTCATAAAAAGTATGAACAAACTTTTTTGCCCCTAAACTGAGCTGTAGCTCTTCCTCTGATCTATACTGGTCTTTTCTGAATTCCCTACTACTGAACTATGCAAATAAAAGGAAGCTACAAGGACTCACTGGTGAGAGAGGAAGGAAGAGAAGGCCTTTTTTAAATACAAAAGGTTCTCTGTTTACAAACTTTCAATAAGACAAAACTTTGTGTGCCACCAGTGACTGGTGTTAGTGGTCAATTGCACAGTGTCATTTTGGACATAAGAACAAAGAGATGAAGAAAGTTTAATATAAACTTAAAAAACTTAAAAATTTCGGAAAACAGAACAGATAATAATATAACCACATCAGATCCATCTAGTTCCATTTTCATTTAACAAAGGTGTGAGTTTTTTTATTTGCCATGGATCCACAGGTTAAAGGTCACGTAACCTGAGCATGCCCAGATGAACCAGGTATGTAACCACAGGCAGAACCTAAGTGCCTGGACTGAGGTGAGTAGATGGAATTTAGAAATGGATACCACATGGCAGGATCCATGATCCAATCAGATCGAGCTCTGGCATCACCCCATGGCAGGATCTAGTCAGATCATGCCTCTTGCATCAATTCATTGCAGGATCCAATCTGATCATGCCTCATTACCCTATGCTTATAAAACCTGACCCAGCCCTTCTCTCAGAGAGACACTGCTTTGGGAACTATCTCTGGTGTTCTCCTTACTTGTTACAAGTAATAAAATCCCCTTGCTAATTCCTCCTTGGTTGTGATCACTGGGTTGGTACCTGTCACGTGACCAAATCCACTCATGTGGGTAATAACAATAAGAAGATATTTTATGAGCCTGGTGTAACCTTGTACTCAAATCAGATAAGGATTTTATAAGAAAGGGAAATTATATGCCATTTTTCACTATGAACATAGATATAAAAATACTAACTACACTATTTACAAACTGAATCCAATATTAAAAAGCATACCATATCAAGCACATGAGCAAATGGAGTTTATCTCATAAATAAAAGGATAGTTTAATATTACAAAATATATTAACATAACTTGTCCATTAGTAGATTAAGGAACAAAAAGCATGAGTATCTTACTAGGTACAGAAAGAACATTTGATATAATTCAATATTCATTACAAAACTTAAACATGATAAAGTGTTTCTATTATTTATTTATTTTTTTAGAGACGGGGTCTCACACTTTTGCCCACCCTAGAGTGCAATGACATGATCATAGCTCACTGCAGCTTCAAACTCCTGGGCTCAAGTGATCCTTCTGCCTCAGCCTCCTGTGTAGCTGGGACTACAGGCATGTGCTACCATGTCCGGCTAATTTAAAGATTTTTTTTGTAAAGACAGGGTCTCATTATGTTGCCCAGACTGGCCTTGAACTCCTGGGCTCAAGTGATCCTCTTACCTCAGCCTCCTGAGTAGTAGCTGGGACTACAGGCCTGGGACTATAGGTGTGCACAACCATACCCATTACAGAGAGTTATACCATGTTCATGGATAAAAATGACTTATATGTTTAAAGATGTCAGTTTTTCCTGAAGTAAATATAAATTCAATGTATATCCAACAAATATAGGTTTTTTTGTTTCTGGAACTAAAATTCTTATGAAAGAGTGATGTTAAAATTCATATGGAAATGTGAAGGGACAAGGACAAGGAAAATTTGGAGAACTGTATGGGAACAGAGCTTCCCTACTAGATACCAAGACAGATTAAAGTTACAATGGTTAAGACAACAGGATATTAGAGAAGCCTATGGAATAGAAGAGCGTGCAGAACAAACCTATGCAATTTGATTGTACAAAAATTAAATTTTTAATTTTTGAAATTAAAAATTAAACAACAACAAAAACAACTTCCATTTAATAAGACAGCACAAACTGAGAAGAGCCTTTGTGAACCTACCTTATTTAAAAATAAAGTTGCTTCTAAACTGGTAACATTTAGGTCAAGCCACTCAACAGTAGGAATGATTATACAAAAATAGCATAGCATGGTGGTGAAATACAGATGCTGGCATCAGACTTATTGGGTTTGTGTCCTGGTTCTGTTGCCTAATTGTTGTGTGACTCTGGTGAGCAAGTTATTCTGTGTCAGTGTCCCTGTTTGTCAAATGGAAAAAAATACTGTGGCATTGTGGGGATTAAATCAATAACAACTGTAAAGTGCCTGGCATAATGATGATGTATTTCTTATTAGGGTTCGAGTGTCATTAAGGGTTATTACTGTTATCATGGCATCGCTACTGTTACCTTACGTTTACATAACACTTAACAAACTTTCAACCGTTTTTCATCTCTGTCATCTCATTCTACCATCAGAGCAGCTACATGGATAGATCAGAAAGGTTCCAGCTTACAGTTTCCATGAGGCTGGTTTTTCAACTATAAAATGAGAGGATAATTGTCAAGGCTCCTTTTGGCTCTTAAAAATCGTTTTTATTTTACAAGAAAGAAATTTCAGGCAAAGAGATATTAACTGACTTGCCTTAGGTCATAGACGAGTTACTAGCAGTTAGGATTAAAACCTAGGTCTCCCAGATTAATTTGCATTTCAAAGATATAATAATAATAATTTCCCCAGACTCTCCCTGTATCTAAATTTCTTCTTGGAATTGTAAGCAGATACTTAGGAAGGTAATTCACTTGGGGACCATTTAGAATATTACAGATACATTCCAATGACTAGAAGCACCTAACTCATTACTAGGGAGAGAGGGAGTGGAGATATATATCTTTTGTGAACACCATTAACACGGGTAATACCAGTAGTAAGAAAAGAGAAAGAATTACCTGGGCAAGCAGACCTGGTTGGATCTGAAGAGGCTGAGCTCCTGGGGCTTGAGTGACGATGGGAACCGCATTTTCCATTCGCACTGAGTAGCCAGCGTGCTTAGAGGGAGAGGCCTGCAAGCCTGTTCCGGACAGGGCGAGGGAGAGAAGGGTTAGCCGAGAGGCTGCGAACAGCTGCACGAAGAGGACCTTCCTAGCCAGCTACACCGTCCTTCAGCTTCCCTCTGCACCGCCCACCGACCACAACTAAGTACTGCCTGGTCCTTGGGAAGTTTCCCCTTTAGCTTCTAACGAATCAAAAAACAAAACTCCTCTCGAAACCTTGAATGTTTTCAAAGGCTAGAAGATTAAATGAAGGAGGCTGTAAGGCCAAAAGTAGGACAGTTATGCTGACAGATTACAACAGGAAAACAAGGGCTTCTAACCAACAAGAGGGACCTGTGGAAGTCGAAATCAGGGGTGTCGGGGAGAGACGTATGAACCCGTTTGGAACTGCATTGACTGTAACCACACAGTTTTTACCATGAGACTTGCAAAAATAAATTCTTAAGCTTTCTGGGTAAATTGTAACAAAGTACATAGTCTAGCTTCTTAGAGTCTACAGGAGATGAGTGCTGGGGTCATGGCCAAAGAATCGTTTTGAGGAGGGGTCCCAGGGAAGTACTTTTCAGACTGATTGATATTCTTCACGGGAGCTGGGACTGCTGGCTGTCGGAGATTGGCAGTTTTCTATAGATAACCCACACAGAGGATATTTCATGCGAGGGAAAGCAAGAGCTGACATCAGCATAACAACGAAAGCCCAAACAATGTGCTGCTTTACAGACAGCTGGCTGAGGACACAGTCCCTGGCAGGTGTGAGAGTCACAATGAATTGACTTGGTGCTGAGGCATAAGCCCTTTGTTTCAAGTTTGGCCACAATAGGAAGGAGCCCTCAAGTACAGTGACACCAGCACTCTCACTGGGAGAAATGAGGTAGGCCTTGCTCCATGAATATGAGTGTGACAGAAAACTGCAGGTGCCGCAGCCCCAGAGGGCGTCCTGTAAGAAGCAGGTGAGAGGCTGCGGCTGCTCAACCTTACCTTGGAAGCCGGGGGGACACACGATGAGAGCTTGCTGGAATGGGTCAGGCCGGGCACAAATCTGGGCTGTTCCCGTCTGCAGGGGCATGCTCCGCTGGGCCACTGCAGCCATGGATGCTGCTGAGGGCTGGTAGAGTGTAGATGGGTAGTTTAGTATGGAGACTTCGGGATTGGCTAAGGAAATAGTGGCACTGGTAGAGGAGGGAGCCTAAAGGAGTGATGGGGATTAAACAAAAATAAACAAAAATAAAAAATGAGGGAGATGATATGTTGGGAGACACGAATCTAAATCAAATAAATGATCTCAAAGAAGAACAAACAAACAAAAAGAGCAAAAAGGCAAAAGCAGAGAGGAGTGGAAATACGGTGGAAAGTCGCAGGGAAAAGCAGGCCCCTGAAGGCACAGGAGACAGAGTCACCTTGGTGTTCATGTGCAGACCTGCTCCTGACATTTGTGGGGCCCGGACCAGGGGACACACAGACGCCTGCTACTCTATGTCTAAATGCTGACAAGCTAAAAATTAAGCTAGAAAACTGTTTAATAAAATGTTCTGCCTTCTCATTTTGACAAATACACCTTCACAATAACCTGGAAGACCAGGTGTGAGTTGAGGACTCGGATGCCTTGGGTTCTGGGCTGGCGCATGGTAACAGGGAGACAGCGGAACCTCACCCTCCTTCTCTCTGCCCTAGCTCCATTCTGTCCCAAAACACGACGGGCTTTGGGTGCATGGACCTGCCAGCCTGCACGTCCAAGCTCTGCTCACAGTCCCCTCGGGCCTGGTGGGTGCAGTCCACATGTGGGAGGACAAATCCAGGGGGAGGCTCTTGCAGGCTCTAAAGGCCTATGGTCTCCAGTCCCCAGAGCTTGGCACAGAAGCACATGCAGCAGGCGGAGAGCAGAGCCGAGGAGGGGCTCAGGTCTATGGTTTATGGTAGTAGCATATAAACAGGGCAGTACTATTTATAGATGTCCTTAGATGGCTGCAAAGCAGGTTACTGCTCAGAGACATGCAGAAGACGTATGCAGAGAGGGAGAGGGACATGTGGAGCTGGGGACTGTGTGCTTGCGTCCCATGCACTCATGTGGTATGCACTGACGAAGGCTGGACGGCAGACAGAAAAGATGCTGGTGAGTCCAGATAACTGAAATGGAGGTGGCTCTGACAAACACAAACCATTGACATTATGTCCTCCCGCCTTTCTCTTTCAGAAAGACACATCGTTTGAGGCTGAACTTGCGTGTGAAATGAGACCGTAGAAGGGAAATACATTCTAACTTCGAAATTCTCCAGTTTCCCCCATCTCAGCCTTCATACTGATCCTTTAGCAAGATAGGTGGAAGTTACCAGTGGTTTCACATTCAGGTAGACATACAAGAGGTTTTGCCTCTAGAAGCTCCAAGGACTAGGGAATATGGAGGAAGGAACCACAAAGATATGTTGGCCATAAATAGAATTTCAAATAGGGCGTGTATGTGTGTCACATTTGATAAGAAGGATAAAGTCTTATTTTACATATGTTTTCTACACTTAGAAAGATTTTATGCTAAATTTCATTGCAAAGCAAATTGATTTGTTTGAAAATAATCATGAAATTGAATGGCACACATGTCTGATTTTAAGCCACATGTTTTAAAGTGGGATTTGCTTTTGCAGCATCACATAGTCTGCCTGGGACATGTGTACACACATGTGGGCATCAGTGTCTGTGTTTTGTCAGATGACATGACTTGTATTTCCGGTTTTCTCCATATCACGATCTCTTCTGGAGGCTTCTTCCCCCTCAACCCTCCACATTCCCCACGGTCTGCTCAGATCCAGACTCCCCCCAGCCCTTGGCCCCTGTGGGTGTCCCTGCTGGGGGTCCTGGCACCTGTATCCTCTAGGTTCCCAAGCCTTTGCTCAGCAATTCCACCTTCTCGCCAGCCACTGCTCCTGCTGCTGCTTCCTTCCAGATGTCCCTGGAACCCACTGACTCTTCAGTTGTGACTTCCTGGTGCCTGGGACGTGTAAGGCCCTGACTAGTGATGATCTGGTCTCTACTTCCCTTCTGGTCTTCTTGGTCACAGAGGCTAGATCATTCTTTCCAAAAGACTCCTCTGTGCATGTCAGCACCCCTGCTCCAAAATCCCAATTACTACTTGATGAACATGGTATATGTGCCTTGGTCTGGCATGCCCTGTTTTCCCTGGTTTGGCCAAATTTACCTTCTAGACTTATCTCCCTCTGCTCTCCACTCTTCTAACACCAGGAACATTAGTTTACTCATTGTTTTCTAAGCATTCTGTGAGCACAGGCCTTTCCCCTCATACAAGTTCTCTGACCCATAGCATTCTCGCCAAGCCGCTGTGCTTTAAGACCTAGCCTGGGTCCCACATGCCCCATGGGGAAACCCTTTCGGGCCCCATCAATGGAAATGAATGGCTCCTTCCTTTGCTATCACATAGTACAATATAGTCTTCTAGCTCCTGTACGATCTGCCTTACAGTACATTAGTCTCTCTAGCCTGAAGTCTCCTGGGAGGGAGGGGCTGTGTCTTGGTGGTGTTTTCCTCCAGCCTACAGTGGTCTCTCCTTCCTCTCAATTCTATAACACATCATCTGTTTGTCTGCCTGGCCCCTAGTGCATGCTATTCTGCATTTTGATTGATCTATTTTTGCTTACAGTCTGTCTCACCATGGAGACCATGAGCTCCTTGAGAGGTTGAATCTTCCAGCTCTTTGTAGATTCAAGGACAAATGGCACTTGTGTCCTGATATGGACCCAGTCTCCAGTATGACCATCAGAAAACCATAAGGTTTTCCCCCAGTTTCTAATCCTGCTTAAGGACGGGTTGAAGAAGCCCATGTGAGGGCAACAGCGTTTTCTGCCCCTGTGTATCCTCCTGCAGCTTTCAGAAAGGTAACCAGCCAGAGAAGGGCACACAGAGCGCTGGGGAGAGCTCTTGCAGCTGACAAACAGTAATAACAAGAAAAAGCAAGTTAAAGAAATTAGAGATGGGGCCTCGCTATGTGGCCCAAGCTCGGCTTCAACTCCTGACTCAAGTGGTCCTTCCGCTTCAGCCTTCCAAATAGCTGGGATTACAGGTGTGCACCACTGTGCCTGGTGGAAAAGCAAGTTTACTGGTAACACAGGTTTTCCAAAAATGGAAGAAGTGATTCCTAGAAGCAGTTGTAGTAGATGTTCAAATGGTTTGCCATCCAGAAGGGAGGGCTTTCAGCTTGGCCTATAAACCCGAATTCAAATTCTTGGTAGAAGGCTGGGTCCAAATATTAGACTTCTATGGAAATGTTAGAGAAGTGGCTGATCCACAGGATAAACAAGGAATAGCTGAGATAAGGCTCATTATTCGGTGTGTTACCAACTGGGTAACCTGAAAGTTTTAGAAAGTAGAGGAATTCAGCTGCCTTGAGACATACGGGGTTATGAATTATTGACCCAGCTTGAGACATAAAGGACTGTAGATTCATAACCATTTGGGAAATGGTTCGTTGGTTAGTCTACTGGATATATGTTAAAGGCAGCAAGAATTATTTATGTAGTTTAATGTTCTTCAACTTCTAACATAAAACTATGCATATAATTTATTACTTCTAAATATCTAAATGGGCAAACAGCTCCAAGGAGCTCATGTAGAAAACAAGCTACTAGAACCAGCAACAAACAAAAGAAGTCTTGTTGGATTTAAACAGCGGACGTCACCTAGGAAAGGCATTTGAGGACCTCCGTAAGACTTACTTAAGACTGACTTATGCTGCTGAGTGTGTATATTTTGAGTCCAGACTCTGAAGCCAGATTGCTGGCTTCAAGGCCCAAGCCCATCTCTCAAGGACAAGAAAGAGCCTCGGGTAAGAGAATTAATCACTCTGTGCCTCAGTTTCCTCCTCTAAAATGGAAATAATAGCAATACCCATCTCACAGCATTGCTGGAAGGACCAAGAGTTATGGTACGATTAGTAGAGCCTGGCACATAATAAATGTTAGCTATTAGTAATGATATTATTTACTAACAACATTATCGGTGGAGGGAAAGCATGCCTTAGTACTTAAGGCTAGGTGTGTCCTGAGTAATTTTTTTTCTGATGTATTTAAAAGTAGGGCATAGTAGAATCCAATGCAAGAGAATGGAAATCCTGTTCTTGGACCCTGACCCAAACTCTGGCCCAATCATACGTTACCAGCCACTTCTACTCTACCCCAGTCCCAAGCCAGATCTGGATGGTCTCAGTGCTGTGGAGAAGAGGCGTGTTCTTATTTGACAACTGTCTTTGGCTGAGAAACCCTTTTAGTTTTATAGAGTCTCTGTGACACTCTTTGGAGTGGATGTGCTGGCTGTTGTATCCCGCCCTCCGCCTGGTCAGGGACCACAGTTCTCCAGCCTGGCAGAAAGACATCCCTGGGAAGGCCAGCCTGCTGGGGAGACTCCACCTGACATGATGCCCGCGGGGGAAGGGTGCTCTTTCCTTCTATTTCTCAGATGCCTTTGATACCTCACGGGGTAGATGGCAGATAAGGATAGGCAGTTTGGGGTTAGGGAGTTAAGATCAGGTGTCTCATGAGGGATGGTGGGACAAAAAAAAATGTCTTCAAGGAGGTAACGAACAAAACCATGGTGATTTTTGTCAAGAAGCTCACAGGTCTGGCTGTGGATGCCTTAGCCTTAGGGCTGGGCAGGAATGTTTGTGTTTTGGACTCCAATAGCTCTTTCACCCTAAGGAGAGCTTCAATAATGCAAGTGGCCCCCAGGGGACAGCAGATTCCAGGTGGCCTCTCCTAGAATTTGGGAAAAGGGAGATGGCAGGCTAGGAAGAAAAGCTAGGCCTTAGCAGCTCAGTGTGCCACAAAGGGGAAAAGGGTGGGAAGGGGAGGGGCTGAAAAGCAGGGGGCTGTGACTCTTCAGTGACAGGAGGGACCTTTCAAAAAGAAAGGACATAAGGTATTGACATTTCAGGTACACACACATCCACATAGAAGTCTTGTTGTCATTATGGATTAAGACCAAAAATCTAGGGACCCTTCTTTGGGGGAACCAGGAAGACTGAAAGATGGGAGCAACAGTTATAGTTTCTTAGACACTAGAGGCAGTCTCAGCTCAAACTTGGAGATTATTCATTCAATAAATATTGCCTGGGTATCATCCAAGTTTCAAGCAGTATGTTACTGCTTGTTCTGCCAATTTCCTGGAAATCTGTGGGAAGAAAACCTTAGCTTCCTGATTCCGTTTAGTTCCAGCTGCTGGGATTCTGGTAACAGGCTGATGAACTGATTTTCTCCATGACTCGGAGAAAGGACAGGTTTTATCTGTCCCAAAAGGAGATCAGGTAGATCCAGCCATGTGGACGAGGGGAGGGGCCTGAACTGGGTGATTCCCTGAGTCCTTCCCAGTTCTAGAATCTTAATTTTTTTTTAGATTAAATCCATGTTTCCATGATCTTTTTCTTTGTTTTTTTTTTTGAGAAAGGGTCTTGCTCTGTCCCCTAGGCTGGAGTGCAATGACGTAATCACAGCTCACTATAACCCTGAAGCCCTGGGCTCAAGGAATTCTCCCACCTCTGCCTCCTGAGTAGCTGAGACTATAGGCGTGCACTGCCACACCCAGCTGCTTTTTCTATTTTCTGTAGAGATGGGGTCTCACTGTGTTGCCCAGGCTAGTCTTGAACTTCCTGGCTTCAAGTGATCCTCCCACCCTGTCTCCCAAAGTGCTGGGATCACAGACATGAGCCACGGTGCCTGGCCAGTTCTGAAATTCTTTACCAGGCAAATATCAGGCATAAAAGGATCACAGCACCTCCTTCCCCGTCTTCCCACATCAGGACAGAGGAGGGCAGTAAGAAGAACCATCTCAGAGAGAATGCCTTTCACCAGTCCTTTCTGGGACCTGTCAATGGGGCCAGTGGTCACCACAAAATGTGCCTGCGTCTCTCAAAGGAAATAACCGTGGGTGCAAATACTTTCTTCAGTTGCTGAATATGACAGCAGGAATTCTGTCTCCTAATTTGGTATGATGGAAAATGTAAGTCCTGAGGCTCACACCATGCAGCCCCGCCTCTCTGTCCCCTCTGCTCCCCACTTACCTGGTTGTGGACAGTGGTCAGCTGGTTGTTAAAGGTCATGGTCAGGTTGGTGGACGTGCTGGGGGCCACGTGTGTGATGAAGGGGGTCTTGCTCTGGTTCACCGTGTCATACATATTCACCCGACGCTTGCAGATCTCCATGTTCTGGAAGCATGATTTGACGCTGTTCATACACAAGGCAGAGGCATACAGAGACATAAGGGGAAGGGAAGAGGGTCATGGGATGAAGGGGAGAAAACGGAGAAAGAAAAGGAGAGAATGGTTAATTCAGTAAACAGGACAAACAGGGAAACTGAACTTTAGGTCTAAGTTTCTTGGGTTGCTTGTGCAAAGTCTGTGCATTTGCAACAGGCACGGTTATTTAGATGAATTTTCTCCATGTAGGTTCTATACATCGCAAGAGAACTGGCTGCTCGCACTGCATTCTCATATCACATCCACCTGCAGCGTCACTGCTCATCCTCAACATTCAGCCTGGTTTCTGGCCCATAAACCAATGTATATGCTCTCCGAATGGGAACACAAAGTAGCAGCTTACAACCTGCCTCTACCTTTCCCAAAGACAACGCTGGTGCGCACCTTCTTCAGCTACCCTGGGTCACCAGCACCACCTAGAGGACGGCCAAGGAACTCTCCAACCCAGTATGGTGACTATTGCCACACTTTCTCCCACTGGAATTGTGCAGGTGGGTAATGGAAACAGTAATAATACTAACAATTAATAGTAGTGGTTAGTATTTATTAGTGTCACAATAATACTACTCTGCAACTTCTCACTTGGTCCGGTGACATCCATAAGATGAAGACATGATTCTCATTCCTACTTTACAAGTAACAAGCTTAGGGAGGTAGGGAGTTTCCCAAGGATAGGTAATCACCGGCTACCCTCGTGCATACACCTATATGTTCTCTTTTGCCAACTTCAGCCTTTATTTTTTTGTCTAAGTCTTGTCCAGTTACATGAAATAGAAATTTTCTCCTTTTTCTTCCCCCATTGCATCTGTGTATCTAAACAAAACTCCAACTACAAAGGTGAGGTATACAAGTGGTGCTGAAACCGGCATTAAGGAAAAGGAAAGCCACAAGTGGCTTCGACCACTCAGGTTCTTGAAAATCCACGAAAAGTGTCCTTCAGAATTTATACAGTACTTCTCATTCACTTCCAGTTAAACCTACTTTTCCTCAAATGCTAATATGTAAGATAATAAAACCCCTTTTAGCTTGGGTGTGGTGGCTCATGCCTCCATCCCAGCTGTTTGGGAGGTCAAGGTGGGAAGAGCTGAAGAGTCCAAGACCAGCTTGGACAATATAGAGAGACCCCATTCTCTACAAAAAAAAGGTATGTAAAAATTAGCTGGGTGTGGTGGTGCATGCCCAGGGTCCCAGCTACTTAGGAGGCTGAGGTTGGAGAATCACTTGAGCCTGTAAGGTCGAGGCTACAGTGAGCCATGAATATGCCACTGTATTCCAGTCTGGGTGACTGAGCGAGATCCTGTCTCAAAAAAGAAAAAAAAAAAAGAAAGAAAAAAGAAAAAAGAAAATTCCATTTAATTTTCAATTCAAAATGTCTATTTTAATTAGAAAAAAATGTAATAGCCAGGCACAGTGGCTCACACCTGTAATTCTAGCACTTTGGGAGGCTGAGGCAGGTGTATCACGAGGTCACGAGTTCAAGACCAGCCTGGCCAAGATGGTGAAACCCCATCTCTACTAAAAATACAAAAAATTGGGCAGTCGTGGTGGGTGCCTGTAATTCCAGCTACTCAGGAGCCTGAGGCAGGAGAATTGCTTGAAACCACGAGGCAGAGGTTGTAGTGAGCCAAGATTGTACCACTGCACTCAAGCCTGGGCAACAGAGTGAGACTCCATCTCAAAAAAAAAAAAAAAAAAAAGAAAGTAATGATTGAATATAAGTGAACGTTTTCTACTGTTTTAGGATTACAAACATGTACTACTTCAGCATACTGTAGGGATGCTATCTTTGGGGCTCAGCAGGTGTCTGTGGGCTATCCCCAAACATCCTTTCTGTGAAAAATGCGTTCTGAGTTTCAAACGACTGACTGAGACATGACTTAGAGAGCCCTCCTTCTTTCTAAGATACTGACCAATTCAACTGGCCACGTCACGCACACAACATAAACATTTACTGACCGATGACGCTGGAGAGAAAAGAAAACATATTCTATGGTATCCAATAGCAAAAATACTCCTAATAATGCTGCTAATGCCAGTGTGTTTTGAGCTCCTACTAAGTACCAAGTACACTCCAAGGCCTTGGGTGTGGAGGCTGTAGCATAAAACCAATGCATTTTGTATTCCTTTCGGAATGGGTTTAAAGGATTTGACGGTTTCGTGATAATTCAACAGAAAAGTTTCAGACTCCTTCAGAATTTTCTTTCTTTCTTTCTTTCTTTCTTTCTTTTTTTGAGATGGAGTCTTGCTCTGTCTCCCAGGCTGGAGTGCAGTGGTGCAATCTTGGCTCACTGCAGCTTCCGCCTCCCGGGTTCAAGTGATTCTCCTGCTTCAGCCTCCTGAGTAGCTGGGATTACAGGCGTGTGCCACCACACCTGGCTAATTTTTGTATTTTTAGTAGAGATGGGGTTTCACCATGTTGGTCAGGCTGGTCTCAAACTTCTGACCTCATGATCCACCCATCTCGGCCTCCCAAAGTGCTGGGATTACAGGCACGAGTCAGTACACCTGGCCCAGAATTTTCTAACTGAAATGTTTCAAGTTTTGGGTTTTAGGAAGGGGCAAGTACTTTCACTTTGGGTTTCTAAGAAGATTGGTTTAAAAAAATTGCACTGGAATCCTGGTATGGAGAAAGGAGTGGTGTCTCTTTCATCTAGTAATCCAGTAACTGTGGCTCAGCTCCCAGGGCAGGGGCGCTACAGCCACATGAGCCTGGAGATTTATCCTTGCCCTGGAGTTCTTCAAGGTCTTCCCAGCATGTTCTAGAGAACTTTAGGGATCAGGCCTACTCTCAGGCAAGCCTAGGTGTGTTTAGAGACCCACCTTTCCTTCTTAGGCTCATTTCTAAGTTCTAACTTGTCAGTGCCCCCTTAGGTCCAGAGAAAGTTCTGAACTGACTGCTGATGTTCACGGTCTTCATGTGACCAAGCCATGAAACACCCTACTGATGCTTCCTTACAGAACCCAGAGGTGGATGGCCTCTGAGGTCATCACAGCCCCAGGCTTTATGAGGGTGACTGTCTGACTGTTTTGGTGCAGACAGCTAACAGGACCTCTGTACAGGGCACTCCCACCCTCCGTCTCCCATTTATAGCTGTTTCTCAGTCATCCTATTTTACTCCTGATATCAAGAGACTGATCCAGTAAATCGCCAAGTTTGCCCTTCTTCTTCTTGTGGTACAGATGGACAGCTCCGTGGCTGACCCCTGTGGTACTCAGAAACAGGACAAATCCCGGCCAGTGACTCACACCTGTAATCCCAGCACTTGGGGAGGCTGAGGCAGGCAGATCACTTGAAGTCAGGATTTTGACCAGCCTGGCCAACATGGTGAAACCCGTCTCTATTAAAAATACAAAAATTAGCCGGGCCTGGTGGCGGGCTCCTGTAATCCCAGCTACTTGGGAGGCTGAGGCAGGAGAATTGCTTGAACCTGGGAGGTGGAGGCTGCAGTGACGCAGTGAGCAGAGATTGTGTCGCTGCACTCCGGCCTGTACAACAGAGCGACTCCATCTTAAAAAAAAAAAGGACAAGAAACAGGACAAATCCAACAAGAGTAGGGATGGATCCAGATTCCTTCTTTATACTGGAGTTTAGTTGTTTCAAACATGGTTTTACATCAAAAAGGCACTGTCTGGTTGTTGCAATGCCATTTGACTTGCTTCTCTGAGAGTAAGGCACAGAACTGAAACCGAGGCAGCACCATCCATGGTGGGGCCATGCACTCACTTCCCGCAGGCCTCGAAGGGGCGGATGCAGCCTTGAGACCCAGCCCCCTCTGGCTCCGGAGACAGCAGGGGCCGCTGTGATCCACACACTTCTCACATGTCCCGGCTCTTCTCACAAGATTATATAGAATCTGTTGCTCTCTCAAGCACAATCCTTGTCCCTGCAGACATCGGATGTGATTATTTATTCTTTCACATCCCAAGTACCTCAGGGTTGAGAGGCTGAGGCGAGACCCTCCATCGACTTCCCACCCACCAATGACTTCCTATTTTTTTTTCCCCATGGAATTTCCCTCTTGTTGTCCAGGTTGGAGTTCAGGGCGCAATCCCGGCTCACTGCAACCTCCGCCTCCCGGATTCAAGCGATTCTCCTGCCTCAGCCTCCCAAGAAGCTGGGATTACAGGCACGCCACCATGCCTAGCTGATTTTTGTATTTTTGGTAGAGGTGGGGTTTCACCATATTGGCCAGGCTGGTCTCAAGCTCCTGACCTCAGGTGATCCAGCCGGGTTGGCCTCCCAAAGTGCTGGGATTACAGGCGTGAGGCACTGCACCTGGCCATGACCTCCTTTTCTTTCCCCTTTATTCACTGAGGCCTTTGACCACTGGCTGGATCTTCCTTTCCGAGCCATTCCCGGCCTAGCAAGGAAGGCTTTGGAAGTCATGGATTCCTTGTCAAACTTTCTGCTTACTTCTCATGCCGAGTGACCCTTGTCCTCAAACCAGTACAGCCACTAATTCCCTGGACTGTCAAACCTGAAACTGCTCCACCTCCAGAAACTACAAGTTCAAGTATCCTGTTTTTCCAGTCACCTTCTCCATCTATCTGCCTCATTCCACTATGACCATGATAACCCTTCTCTGCGTTGACCAGAACACGGTGTTCACTTGGACCCCCTCCCATCTTCACTTCCTCTCCCTTTGGGCTAAGCCTCCAATAGCCATCATTCTGGATTCCAGTTATTCTCTGGCCAGCCTCATCAGCTTCCTTGTCAACCTGTCTTCTTTTCTTATCAGCCTGGCAAAAATTCCCCCTGGACAAACCCAGTGATCTGTCTTTTCTATGCCCTCACCGGGGGAGATCAGTGACACTATAAACAGTTCATGTCCAACCTCGGGCTCAGTAATTCTACCGTATTTCTCTGGGCAGTTTGTTCTGCCACCTTCTGCTCCAGCTTCCTAAATTTTCTACCCTTCTTAAACCTCCTTCCATCTTGTTCTCAACAGGTAACCTCACTGCCTACTTCTGAGACGACAGAAGCTGTCTGATGGGACTCCATCCATTTTTCTCCACTAGACCAGGACATATGCTGCCATCCACACGCTCCTCCTCCATTCATCTTTCCAGTGACACTGGCCCATCCCTGTGCTCTGAACCCTGCCTTAAAAACAATCCCCTTGACCCCTCCCCAGTCACCCCTCTATTTCTTCCCCTGCACAGCCTCACTTCATGAAAGGCTGCTCCTTCTTCACCTCTCACTGGGTCTTTCAACCTGCTCTACTGGTTTTTGCTTTTACCACTCCACTGAATGGCTGTCACTGAGTTACTGACAACTTTCAAGTTGGTAAACCCAATGGACATCTTTTTCCAAGACTCATCTGACTTGTGTGGCCAGCAGATAGATCATTGCTCAACACAGATCTAACCAGCTATTCCCTTGCTTAAGCATCATTTAATGACTTCCCATTGCTTTTTGGATTAAGATTAAAAACCTTAACATGTAGGGCCTGCCCTGGCCGACTCAGTGCCTCCCTGCCTCACCTGCTGCCTTCTGGGATGGGTGCATGGTCCTGCCCATGGGGGAAGAGTCCTGTCCACACAGGAAACGCCCTGCCTGCTCATGCCCATCCTCTTCCTCTTCCTTCACGGGCCACTTCTTGAGTCTTCCTGGTCTTGAGGCCCCATGTGAGGCTCCCCTTGGTATGCTCTCATCGCACCCGCTACCTGTCCTGGTAACAGGCTGGTGATTTGGGCATCACTTGTTTCTTACCATTCTCTCTCCTACAGACTGCAAGCTCCGGTGGGTGGGGCCCGTCTGCTCTGCTGCCCACTGCACCCTTGCTCACAAGCTCTGGTGGGCAGGGCTGTCTCTTCTGCTCACCACTGTAACCCCACACACAGTATGCTGAAGAAATGAATGAACAAATCCAAACCCAAACTAGACTGGGATGGTTCTGGGAGCAACCTTCGGCCCTGAGACTGGTTTTGCTCTACAGAGACTGCCGTCTTGGGGACCTCTCTTCCTGCACAGATACCCAGAGTCAGGTTCATCCAGCTCTGTGCTCTCCTCTTCTCTCCTTTTCACTGTGAAGCCAACTGGAGGCCAGGGGTCCCGCCCAGCCACTGCCCACCTTCATAAATGTTTTAGAGAATGCAGCCCTGCTCATCTGTTTATGTACTGTACCTGTGATGGCTTTCAGCTATAGTCACAGAACGAGTAGTGCCCAGGACCTTATGGCTGCAAAATCTAAACTATTTAGCGTCTGGACCTCTAACGTTTGCTGACCCCTGGTATGAAGCATCAAGCAGGACACCTACTGTGTACTATGGGGAAAATCAAGCAAGTGTGTCATGGTGACAAAGGGATGGTTCAGGGTTTCGATTGGAGTGATTCTCTTGTCCGCGTCAATGGTCAGCATCTTCTTCAACAGGTCAATGAACTCCCGCCGGTCAGCCTTCTCCACCAACATGTCGCTCCCTTCCAAATCTGTCGTCATGTTCACCTGGATGCAAGTAAGGACAGGTTACCAAGGACGAGCCCAGCGTGCCTCCCCCTTCTGGCTCCCTGGACTTTGTGCCCTGCAACTTCCTCCTGATCACTCAAGCCCCCTTTCTCAGTTCCCAGGAACTCAGCCCCTATGAGAGGTACCAGACACATGCTGTCATTGCCCACAGAATGTGGCTTTTCTCTCTGCAGGAAAGGTGGAGAGGGGCCATGCCCCAGGAAGGGGAGAGGGCCGCTGCTGGGACTTGCAAATATACCTGAATGACAGAACGCAAACTGCTCCTGCTTTAATCAGTCAGGCTGAAATGCAGCTTTCATCGCCCCTCATTAAAAATATTCCCGAGATGAAAAGCGGTCTGGAGACTGGCTGCATAACAATGGGAGTGCTAACACTACTGAACTGCATCCTTAAAAAAGGCTGAGCTGATACACTTATGCTATGTGTGTGTCTGCCACAATTTTTGAAAAAGAATTGCGGCCAGGCAGTAGAAATAAGATGCAAAAAAGTGTATGTATGTGTTTAACCTTTGGAGGGACGGTTAAGGGCCTGAGGGCGCCCATCCTGCACCTACAGTGTATCATCCTTCTCACGGCTTCCCCAGTTAGGGCCAGAATTATTTTAGTCCTTGTGTTCAACAGAGTCACCTCGGGCCAAGACAGGCAGGATATCTGAACACAGAATTTTTCTTCCAGGAGTGAGTCTATACGAGGATAGCCTTTAAAAGGCTTGTTTTGTGGTAACTTCTGTATTTTCCAGGACATGGTCTGGAAACCAATTTCAGTTTTCTCAGACAATCTAAGCTACTAATCACCTGACAAGTACACTTTACTGAGAATCTTCATTTTTGGTGATACTCATCTACAGTAAGAAGGGTGCTGTGTTTATTGGTGTATAGCTTTGTTTCTCATTGCTTTAAAGACAAAAATCACTTTGGGGTGCCCTGGTTTCAGACTAGTTTTCACACTAAAAATAGCTGAAGTTCTAGAATTTTCTCTGGGGCACAAAGGCGAGGGCCTGTGGTCCCTGCTAGTGAGCTGAGACTGTGTAGCAGATTGAATTGTGTCCCCCTAAAAGATACATTAAAGTCCCAGTCCCCAGTAAGTGTGGATGTGGCCTTACTTGGAAATAGGGTGTTTGCAGATGTAATCAAATTGAGTTAAGATGAGGTCATACTCAATTAGGGTGCACCCAGGGACAAGGCAAGGGAGATGTGGGCACAGAGGCACAGAGGAGACACAGGATAAAAGCCTTGTGAAGGAGGAAGCAGAGATTAGGGGATGCAGCTACAAGTCAAAGAACGCTGAGGACTGCCGGAAGCTGGGAGGCAGACATGGATGCTCTTTCCCTCTTTCCCTATGGCCTTCAGAGTGAACATGGGCCTGTTGAAGCCCGACTTCTAATTTCTGGCCTCCAGAACTATGGGGGAGGGAAAGTCTGCTCTCCTAAGCTATCTAGTTCACAGTACCTTCTAACGGCTGCCCCAGGAAACATCTACATGGAATCGTGGGCATTAAACTCACGGGTACTAATGGGTGGGAATTCTTCTCATGATAACATCAGGAAGATTGCCCAGTACTACATTACAAGAGGGAACCAATAAATGGGAACTATTTTTTTTTTTTTTTTTTTTGAGATGGAGTTTTGCTCTTGTTGCCTAGGCTGGAGTGCAGCGGCATGATCTCAGCTCACTGCCGCTTGGGTTCAAGTGATTCTCCTGCCTCAGTCTCCCAAATAGCTGGGATTACCATGCCCAGCTACCTTTTGTATTTTTAGTAAAGATGGGGTTTTGCCATGTTTGCCAGGCTGGTCTCGAACTCCTGACCTCAGGTGATCTAGCTGCCTTGGCCTCCCACAGTGCTGGGATTACAGGCATGAGCCACTGCACCTGGCCAACTGGAACAATTTTTAAGGAGCTGGTATAAAGTTTTAAAAATGTTTCACAAACCAAATGGTATTTTTACTAAGGCTGGCTGTAATTGTTTAAGGTCAAAGTCAGCCACTGCAGTTGAATAATATTGATTCCAACCCATTATCTTATATTACTATTGCAGAAGTCTTGGTGCCCTTGGTTTTAAATGGCTTACATTGTATACTCACCCATGAAGCTTACCTGGGCCATATCATCTAAACAGTTGAAAATGTACTTTCTTGCTTCCTTTGACTTAATCCCTGTCTCTGCTTCATGGTCATCTGGTGTCTGTCAAGAGAGGCAAAAGCCATTGGTAATGTGACTTATCTCTTTGTCACTGGGACTCAAGCCTTGGAGTTCCTGTGTCTCACAGAGGGCCTCTTTCCCACCTTTCAGAAGCGATTTTGATTCTTCAAGGACCTGCACACCTGCAATTCCTTTTTCTCTTCATCCACACCTGCCCCTCCCTCCTTCCCATGCACATGTGTCAGGGGCCAGCTCCGAGTCAGTTACGGAGCATTCTTGCTCCATAGCACAAGCTGATCAAGGTATGTCGCATCCTCGATCAGCCTATAGTCTTCCCTGAGTTTAAGGAATAAGGTAAGATTCCACTGTGGAAAAGCAGGGGCCTTTTCCAGCATTTTCCAATTTTATCTAATTAAACCCTTATGCACATAGCTCTTGCTACGTGCCAGACATTGTTCTAAAGTATGTTCATTCATTTAATAGCTTTGACAACCACATCAGGTAGCACAATTACTATCCCCATTTTCCAGATGGGGAAACAGGAATAGAAAGTTCAAGGCACTTGTCGTGGTCACATGGCCAATAGGTGGCAGCTGGCGCCAGAGTCTGTGTCTGGGCTGCCCCTCCACGGGTGGCTGAGGCACAGACATACATTCCCCAATGGTTGGGGAAACTGCTGTTTCCAATTACTGTGGGTTTTTGGACTCAGCGACGAGGTGATCCAGAGGTAATTAATCCTCAAAATCTCACTCCAGAACAGCACACCTGGAGAAGCTTAGGTCCCGGGAACAGCTGGACATGCGGGACTGAGGCTCTTCAGAAAAACAGGAGTGAACTCCAGTTTAACCCTCCTTCACGGGAGGACTCTCTTTACTGGACCTGACCTTGACACTCACCCTCACAGTTGCCAAATGCCAGGCCTCCCATCAATAGCCTAAGAGTGCTTGCTCACTCCCAAATTTCTTTTCTGAGTCTTTGGTGACTACTGGACACACATTATCTTTAAACCATATTAGAATTTTTCCATTAAAAAAAACAACCCAGAAAAACAAAAAAACACCCACCCACCCACTGTAAAAAAAAGAAATACCTAAAATGAAACATACTTAACACTTTATTAGTTTCTTTTTTTACCAGGAAAATATTTTAATTTCAATTGCTAGGCACAAATCAAAGTGAAAGCAAAATATATTTCTGTTAAAGCAAAGCTCTTGCCCCTGGTTTGAAGGTTTATGGTGGCCTGTGTGACCCAGATGCCTCCCTGGGCCTTAGGACATTCCCATGGGCTCACTGGGCAGCCTCCTGTGCCTGGAACGCCTCTCCCCAACCTGCACCTGGCCGCCACCCTACACTTCTCTACTGGGCAAGCCCGCTTCATTGTTCCTTTTCTTTTTTTGAGACACAGTCTTACTCTGTCGCCCAGGCTGGAGTGCAATGGCATGATCTCAGCTCACTGCACCCTCCGCCTCCCAGGTGCAAGGAAGGGATTCTCCTGCCTCAGCCTTCCGAGTAGCTGGGATTACAGCCGCATGCCACCATGCCCGGCTAATTTTTGTACTTTTAGTAGAGACAGAGTTTCACCATGTTGGCCAGGCTGGTCTTGAATTCATGACCTCAAGTGATCTGCCTGCCTTAGCCTCCCAAAGTGCTGGGATTACAGGTGTGAGCCAGGGCGCCCCCTCTTCATTCTTTAGGGCCCAGTTCAAATGCTCCTCCTTGCCCCTCTGCTGCAGGCAGAATGAAATGCTCCTTCCCCTTGGCACCCACACCCGTTCTCGACCTGGAACAGGGCCCTGATTATAGTGGGCGAGAGCTTGTGGCATGCGGTCCCGTCTCCCTCTGGACTGTGAGCTCTCAAGGGCAGAGTGGGGTTCGTTTCTCTCCCTACCACAAATCAGACAGTCATCAAGGCTTATTGGATTAAATCCTGGGAGTTCAACAATCACAACGTGGGGACTCTCACAGGCGGCAACAGACTGAGGGAAAGAGGGGCTTTTGAGCATTCAGATTCAGCCACACTGTGTATTAACAATAGCCCCCCGACACCCTCATTTGCTGACTGAATCAAAAGCTCCCCACTAATGGGACTACGGCCCTCTTTTCTGAGCACTGGGCCACTGTGAGGAGTGGAGGGGACGCTCTTCCTACCTTCAGTCTCCACAAAGGATATGGTGAGTCCGTGTCACGGTTGAAAAACCTAGTTGTCTTTGTCCCTGCACTTAATAAATATTCAGCAGGCAAACCCTGTGTTTGTGAAATATACCGAATCTGCAAGAAAAGATAAGAATGAGGTCACGGCTTTTCCTGTCACCATACATATGGTATACTAATGGCTCTGCTGGCTTTGAGAAAAATGAAAATGACAATTTTTGTAGGGAAAGAAAGAAGTTAACAAAAAGAAGAAAAAGGGGAAAGAGAAAGGAATAAAGAAAAAATAGCAAGGTTAAGGGAAGCAAGATTTGGGAGACAACGTGGCATTCCAGAATCCTGCCCATCTGTCATGTAATCAATGAAATGCGAATCCAGGCTGTTTTCCAGATAAGAATGAGGTCTCGTGAATATCAGTGTCATCCGGACCCACCTGATCATACTCTGAAGCTCCTGGATATAGCGGCCAACCCAGGAACAGTTCTGCGATGACACAGCCCAGGGACCACATGTCAATTGCCTCACAAAATGGTAAACCAAGGATGATCTCAGGGGCCCTGAAAAGGAAGAATGGAAGAAACTGTCAGCAGGTTGGAAATGCAGGCAGCTGTTTCTATATGAACACTATCTTTCAAACCTGGGGTGCCTGTGGCTCGTAGGAGAGGCACTGTGCTACAACAATCCTTCCATTCTTTGGCTTGGTCCCCTCCATGAGGGGTTTCACCTTGTTGATCAGGGTGGTTTTGAACTTCTGACCTCAGGTGATCCACCCCCCTTGGCCTCTCAAAGTGCTGGGATTATAGGCATGAGCCACCACACCTGGCCTGCCAATTATCCTTTCTTAAAAATTTACAACACACTTTCATAAGGAAACATTGCTATTTTTTTATTAGGTTCTAAAAAGCTAATCTCCTTAAAAGTTATCTAATGTTACAATTATAGAACCGCATACATCAGTACAGAATCTGGTATCAACCAGGATTCCAGCGTAAACTCCATGAAGAAGCTGTTCCTGAATGTAGGAGTTCTGCCCCTTCAAGGAAATCACCTAAACCCCAAGGGAACATTTCCCAGGGAGTTGGAAATCAACATGAAAGAGACCACCCAGGTACATCTTCCCTTTAAGAATTTGTCATGATTAGGTAGGGGTATGTTTTGGACAAAACCAGGCTCAAAGTCTGAGTTATGGGCACAGCTTATCTTTTTAAAAACAATATGTCTCAAGGCCAGGCATGGTAGCTCATGCCTGTAATCCCAGCCCTTTGGAAGGCCAAGGCAGGTGGATTGCTTGAACCCAGGGGTTCAAGACCAGCCTGGGCAACATGGCGAAAACCTGTCTCTACCAAAAACAAATGAAAAACCCCAAATTACCAGGGGGTGTTGGTGCATGCCTGTAGTCCCAGGTACCTGGGAGGCTGAGGTGGGAGGATTGCTTGGACCCAGGAGATGGAGGCTGCAGTGAGCTGAGATTGCACCTCTGTAGTCTAGCCTGTGAGACAGAGATAGATTCTGTCTCAAAAAGGGAAAAAAAAATAATAATGTGGCTCAAGGCATTCTGCTGATAATGAAATGCATTAGGCTGACTTTTGTCTTCTCTATACATTTTCCACTTGACTAAGCGATGCTAGAAGAGGCTACTTTCCCACCCTTTCTGCAGCCTAGAGTGGGCGTGAAGGGAGCTGGGGAGACTTTTCTCTTGGTTACCTTTCACCCACCTAGCACGAGAGTGGGGAGGAAGGGGGTGATCAGAAAAACCCCCACTGGTCTTGGATCTTCTAGCTGATTTTTTCTCTACTGAAAAAGCACCTCCTCTTCCCTCTTTGAATTTGTTCTCATTGCTAATCTTTTTTCTTTATATAATATTATTGAAAAGAACAAAACAAACAAAACCCAAAAATGTCTTATTACAAAGTTTTTATTTTTCACATGTAAAATGGAGTTTGGCCAGGCATGGTGGCTCATGCCTGTAATCCCAGCACTTGGTGAGGTTGAGGTGGGAGGACTGCTTGAGCCCAGGAGTTTCAGACCAGCCTGGGCAACACAGTGAGACCCTGTTTCTAAGAAAGGAAAAGAAAAGAAAGGAAAAGAAAAGAAAAGAAAAGAAAGAGAAAGAAAGAAAAGAAAGAAAGAAAGAAAGAAAAGAAAAGAAAAGAAAAGAAAAAAGCTGGCACAGTGGCTCACGCCCGTAATCCCAGCACTTTGGGAGGCCAAGATGTGAGGGTCACTTGAGATCAGGAGTTGGAGACCAGCCTGGCCAACACGGTGAAACCCCATCTCTACTGAAAATACAAAAATTAGCCGGTGTGGTGGCACATGCCTGTAATCCCAGCTACTCAGGAGGCTGAGGCATAAGAATCACTTGAACCACGAAGCAGAGGGTGCAGTGAGCTGGGATGGCACCACTGCATTCCAGCCTGGGTGACAGCGAGACTCCGTCACAAAAAGGAAAAAAAAAAACAATTACCCAGGCATGGAGGTGCGAACCTGTGGTCCCAGCTACTTGGGAGGCTGAAGTGGGAGGACTGCTTGAGCCCAGGAGTTTGAGGCTGCCATGAGCCATGATTTACACCATTGCACTCCAGCCTGGTGACAGAGCAAGACTCTGTCTCAAAAAAAAGAAAAAAAAAAAAAGGAGTTTATTGCTTTCCTCAGAACTGGAGACTGGGCACTGGCTACCGGGTGCTTCTAGAGTGCCAGCCACGGTTGCTGGTCTGGGCAGCAAGAAGGAGTGACCACTGAGGGGAGGAGCGAGTTGCCTTGGTGCTATTTAATGAGCCTTCCGTTGTCCCCATCCCTCGCTGCTGGGCGTCTTCAGCTGCCAGTGTTCTGCTTGGCACTGCACCCCCTCTCTGGCCTTTGTCTCCTTTGTTCCCCACACTGGACCATGCGTGGAGGGTCGGAGGCCACTCTTACCCACTGGCACCGATGAGCTGGGGATGCCTGTGCTGGCTCCATGACGTGTCCCTGCTGCATCCTCCTCTTTCATGTAACCATGAGCCCGCCACCTGCCTAGGCCACCTGTGTCAGGGCTGCCCACACACCAGGGCCCCCAGGTTCACTCCTCATTGTGTGTAACTGACGAGATTACTGCCAGATTGCCACTAGAAGTGCCTTTAGAGATAGTTGCAGTTTATTTTAAAAATTACATCCCTTAGAAAAGAAGGGAATATTTTAATTTATTTATTTTTATTTTTTTAAGATAGAGTCTCGCTCTACTGCCCAGGCTGGAGCACAGTGGCATGATCTTGGCTCACTATAACCTCCGCCTCCTAGGTTCAAGCGATTCTCATGCCTCAGCCTCCCAAGTAGCTAGGATTACAGGTGCCCACCAGCATGCCTGGCTAATTTTTGTATTTTCAGTAGAGATGGGGTTTTACCATGTTGGCCAGGGTGGTCTTGAGCTCCTGACCTCAAGTGATCTGCCCGCCTCAGCCTCCCACAGTGCTGGGATTACAGGTGGGAATCACCATACCTGGCCCAAAAGGAAGGGAATATCTGAAAAGAACATTACCAAAAAAAGTATTAGGGTGTCAGAACCTGCTTTTCTTTCTGCTCTCCCTGTTCTAGAGTCAGGAGTGGCCTCCTGCCTCCTCTCATGTGGATCCAGGCCTCTTGATGGGAGGAGAGTTCTGGCCTGGACTTTCTGGCTTAAGGATCACATGCATTCTCACCTCTGTCCCCACATTCCTGTCACCTGGCTCCATGGCTGGCCCCTGCCCTCTTGCAGCCTGATGTTTGGATGTTGGACACTCAAGTCTTAGGAAGAGGCCATTCTAGCCCCAGGCAACATCTCTGAACCTGACTATGGGCCTGCCCTTCCTATTAGGTTAGTTACCTGATTCTTATGGCCCAGAGGCTGTTCCTCACCCATGGAAACCTTGTTTTTTAGTTTCTGTTCCCCGGTGATTAACAAGGCAGACTGCAACAACTAAAACGGCCACACAAAGGCACTTTAATGATGTTCTTTAGCAGGAAACACCAGACATAGATTTTGATGACTGACATGACACAGACAGGGCCTCTGAAAACTGCTTGTAGTCCAACAAGAAAACAAAATGGCAGCCATTTGTGGCACCATGATATGTGCAGCAGAATATTCCTGCTGTGACCATCAAGAACCAATGCCCAGGCATCTGGCTAGGTGGCTGGGAGACAGTACTGTCCTCGAAGTCCTCTGATGCTGGGAAAGCCACGTCAAAGCACACAGGACAACTCAAGTCGAATACAAAACGTGTGTCACAGAAATACACAGACACAAAAATCGAGCCGACACAGCACACCACACGCTCTAGCGGCTCCCACGTTAGAAAACAAAGCAGAACGCAAGAACAAAACAGACCAAAAAAAAAAAGCCCCAAACACAAACCTTTCCTAATCCCTTCATCCGCCCGCAGCTGCCCCTTCAAGGCCCACTCTCCAGAGAGCCATCTCCCCGCGGTTCCCACCTCTTCACCTCGCATCAGTTTCTCAGCCTCCTCTAATTGGAGTCAGACACTCTGAGACACTGACGCGCTGCACTTGTTGAGATCAGTGGTGATCTCCACGTTGTCACATCTGTTGATCACCTCCTTAGCTCTGTGACCCGGGAGCTGCATTTCTTTCACACGGTGACTATTCCTTCCTGTCCTGAAACACCTGTTCTTAGTTTTCATGACACCACACGCTCCCGCTATCTGTCCCGCCTCTCTGCCTGTGGCCTGCCCATTTCCTCTGTAGGCTTACCCTCTTCTACCCATCTACTGTGTGTTGGCCAAGTCCCAGGCCCCCGCCTCTTCTCTCCTTCCATCCTTGCCCTAGCTAATTGTTATGGGTTGAATTGTGTCCCCCAAAAAGGTATGTTGACCTCCTAATTCCTGGCACCTCACCATGTGACTTTATTTAGGAATGGAGCTGCTGCAGATATAATTAGCTAAGATGAGGTCATGCTGGAGTAGGTGGCCCCAGTCCAATGTGACTCGCATCTGTGTAAGAGGGAAATCTGGACATAGTTACTGACATGGCGGTAAGATGGCCATGTGAAAAGGGACGAAGAGACGGGAGTGATGCTGCCACAAGCCAAGGAACACCTGGAGCCACCAGAGGCGGGAAGAGACAAGGAAGGCTCCAGCCCTACAGCTTTCAGAGGGAGCATGGCCCTGCTGACACCTTGATTTTGGATGTCTAGTCTCTAGAATTACAAGAAAATAGAAGTGGGTTGTTTTAAGCCAGACGTTTTGCGGTACCTGTTTCAGCAGCCCTAGGAGACTGACGCGGTCATCTCACTCATTCCACGGATTTAAATTCCATTTGTATTTCCAGGTTTGTCTCCATCTTAGAGTTCTCCTCCCGGCTCTAGATTTATGTTCTGGAAGCCTGGTATTGCCTCTGGAATGTCTCACAGTCATCTCCAATTCCACATGTCTAGAAAGGAACTCTTCTCTGATCCCCCCTCTCTAAACATATGCCTTCTGCTGTCCTCATTTTATGAAATGGAATCAACACCCTCCAGCGGCTTAGCCAGAGATCTGGGGAAGATCTTTGATTCCTTGCTCTCCCTTCATCCCCATCATCTATCCAC